GCCTCAGCCTCCCGAGTAGCCGGGATTACAGGTGCCCACCACCACATCTGGCTGATTTTTGTATTTTTAGTAGAGATGGGGTTTCACGATTTTGGCCAGGCTGGTCTTGAACTCCTGTCCTCAAGTCATCTGCCCACTTCGGCCTCCCAAAGTGCTGGGATTACAGGTATCAGCCACCATGCCCAGTAAAATGCAAGAACTTTTAAAAAGAGCCCAGCAATATACTTTACTAATAGTGATAAAAACATTTGTCAGCATTTTAAGTTCAGATTTTTATAGGTCTGAAGGTTATTTTGTACTTTTATTCCTAAGCTATCACTTTGAATGAAAGGATATTGGGTATATTCAGCTCATCTTTCATTTTACAACTAGATGTCAGTGTTAACATACCTGATTAAATGTCTCAGGTGTGGTTATAATGAGTAATTCAATAGTTGCTCACCTATATGAGATATAGATTAGAAAATAAATAATAATAAAGGAACAGAATTTTTAAAAACTTCTTTCCTTATTTCAAACTGGACTGGTTATGCCTTAATTTTCTTTCTCAAAGTCCTCCTCAAAACTTCAAACTGCATTATATTATCCAACATAACATCTTTACATTTACATTTTTTACATTTGCATTTACATTTTGTAAATATTGATTTTTCCCCCCACATTAATAACTATACAAGAACGGTTAAATTTTTTGATTTATTTGGTTAGGAAAGTCAAGAAGAGTGTGAACTTGTAAACCTTTTTTACTACTACCAGCCAAAAGTTCTTCCCTACAGCTTTTTCAGAAAGAATCATTAGAAAAAGAAAGGAATATATTGCTCTTCAAACATGTGCGCGCGCGTGTATGTGTGTGTTTATTTATTGTCTACTTTGATTTGGAGCATATTGAAAGCAAGAATTATGTATGTATTCTCAGTGACATTTTTTACATCTCACCTGGAAGACTCTCTTGAAATAACTAAATCTACCTTTTAAATTTAGTCCTCATATAAATGGAAGTGTGATGTCCTTATACATTCCTTACAGAGCCAATCTAACCACCTTTTAAAATAATTTGCATTGTGTTTCTCAGCCAAGCGTGGTGACTCATGCCTGTAATCCCAGCACTTTAGGAGGCCAAGGTAGGCAGATCACTTGAGGTCAGGAGTTCAAGACCAGCCTGGCCAATGTGGTGAAACCCTTTCTCTACTAAAAATACAGAAATTAGCTGTATGTGGTGGCAAGTGCCTGTAGTTTCAGTTACTCAGGAGAGTGAGGCAGGAGAATTGAATTGCTTGAACCTGGGAGGCAGAGGTAGCAGTGAGCCAAGATCGCACCACCGCACTCCAGCCTGGGCAACAGAGTGAGACGCTATCTCAAAAATTGTGTTTCTCTAAGTAGGATATCTCAGTTTTTTTTTTTTTAAATCAGGCTTCCTTTTAATAAATAGGAAATTCTGAAGTCTAGGCAAAGTAGTATGTCAAAGTACTGAAAACATATCTTCTTCCTCTATTTCAAACAAAAGATACTGATGAATCCATTTCCCAAACTCTCTCTCCTTTTTGAGAATCACTGCTTATGGATCACTCAACTGATGGAGCTCACATAGGCAAAATTCTATAGAATGATATTCACTTCGACATTTTTAATTACACATTTTCAAAATCTACGTATGTAACTTAAAAGTAAAGAATTTTGGAGATTATTTCAACTGTATACTAAGAAATATCAAGACAACTTGTGTTTGGAGTTCAAGTGAAGATTTTGACAGAATTGACAGATTTGCTTTTTAAAACTTACCTATAAATTGGTCTTGGTGTGGTGGCTTATGCCTGCAATCCCAGCACTTTGGGAGGCCGAGGCAGGCGGATCACAAGGTCAGGAGATCGACACTATCCTGACCAACGTGGTGAAACCCTGTTTCTACTAAAATACAAAAATTAGTCAGGTGTGGTGGTATGCATCTGTAGTCCCAGCTATGCGGGAGGCTGAGACAGGAGAATCCCTTGAACCCAGGAGGTAAAGATTGCAGTGAGCCGAGATTGCGCCACTGCACTCCAGCCTGGTGATAGAGCAGGACTTGGTCTCAAAACACAACAACAACAACAAAAATAACAAGTTATCTGTAAGTTTAACCTTTTCCTTAGAAACAATAACCAGCCCCCCCTTTCTATTTTTGAAAGGCAAGTTGAATTAGTGTCAGCAACATCCATCTCTCTTAATGGAAATAACTTTTTAAGTTGTGCGGTAAGTAGGTCCTAATTTTATAACAGTAAAATTTGTTCATCAATCCTTGCAAACAATGCATTTGCTTATCGGCTTTAAAAATCTATTCTTTCCTGAGAAAGAACTTTCAGTTCATCAGTTTTTGGATTACCACATTAAACACTCATTTGTCAGTTGATTTTGTCATTTTTTTGTGACCTCCAGGCATATAACACAAGAACGTAAAATTAATTATTGATTATAGTACAGATTCAGCACATCACTGTAGATTTTCACTCAGGCTGAAGAAAAGATAAAAAGTCCTATTAACTAACCTCAGGCTATCCCAGTTTGCTTCATATATAGTAGAAATACAAGCAGGCTACATCTTGCTGATTACAACATGTCTTATTTAACAAAACAATAAAATAGTAAATGAAGTGTATTTAATTCTCAACTCTCTTACAATGATTAGTAGTAGCTTAATTCTTGAGTTGAATTCTGATAGTTCTGTGGTTTTGCAAATTTATCCTTATACACTAATATTTTCTTTTGTTTAGAAGCCTTCTTGATTTATGTTTCAAGATCCGATGACTTTTACAGACATAATTTATAATCTTAAATTTGTTTTATACTAAGGCCAGTAGCTAGTTACTGCACTTACATGCAGAAGAGGCAGCTACCTATGGCATTACTAAGTAGACCAACAAGCTTGCAGCACACAGGGAATCTAACTTTTCAGCAAGATACCTGGGGGATGACTGGTCCTAGCTGAGTGTCTAGAGCCTCGCAGGCATTTGGTATAAATAATTGGGAGAGATGGTATCTCAATGTGGTTTTGATTTGCATTTCTCTGATGACCAGTGACATCTCACGCCAGTTAGAATGGCGATCATTAAAAAATCTGGAGACAACAGATGCTGAAGAGGATGTGGAGAAAAAGGAATACTTTTACACTGTTGGTGGGAGTGTAAATTAGTCCAACCATTGTGGAAGACAGTGTGGCGATTCCTCAAGGCCTTAGAAATAGAAATTCCATTTGACCCAGCAATCCCATTACTGGGTATATACCCAAAGGACTATAAATCATTCTACTATAAGGACACATGCACACGAATGTTTATTGCAGCACTGTTTACAATAGCAAAGACCTGGAATCAACCCAAATGCCCATTGATGATAGACTGGATTGGGAAAATGTGGCACATATACACCATGGAATATTATGCAGCAATCAGAAATGATGAGTTTGTGTCGTTTGTAGGGACATGGATGAATCTGGAGAACATCATTCTCAGCAAACTGACACAAGAACAGAAAATGAAACACTGCATATTCTCACTCATAGGCGGGTGATGAAAAATGAGAACACATGGACACAGAGAGGGGAGTACTAAACACTGGGGTCTATTGGGGGGAAAAGGGGAGGGCCAGTGGGAGGGGGAGGTGGGGAGGGATAGCCTGGGGAGAAACGCCAAATGTGGGTGAAGGGGTGAAAGCAAAGAAAACACACTGCCATGTGTGTCCCTATGCAACTGTATTGCATGCTCTGCACATGTACCCCAAAACCTAAAATGCAATAAAAAAATAAGAATAAAAAAAAAATAAAATAATTGGGAGAGATTTGTGCCTTTGTTTTCTCCCCGGCCTCATCTCTTACAGGCCTCAGTGGAAGGTTATGATTGTTTTCTGAGCGTATGTGAGCCTTTCTCCTTGCCCTGTATTCTGTGGTCTGCTTTTATTTCCGGGTGCCTGCTGTATGAGTCCTAGCTCCTCACACCATTCTTTTTTTTTTTTTTTTCTTTTGATATTTGGACTCAGCTAAGAAGCTAACTATTAATCAGCAAATGGTATTAAAGAAATGGCTACTTGGAGCTACTATATAATATTGTAATGTTTTCTCTGATAATTTTCTTAAGTCTCAAATACTTTTATTTTTAAAACTTAACTTTTAAAAGTTGACTTGGGTCAGGGCATACATGTAACTGCTTTTATACATGTTTGAGGAAAGAGGATGGTCATTGTAAAATATACCTACAGCTACAATTGTGGAGTTCCAGTTCTGACTAACATTAAAGAATATACTAGATTTCTCTGAATCTGAAGACATTTTGCAAATGCTTTTCTTCAACAGCAAGACAAGATGACAGTGATGGCATTCCTTTGTGATTATTTCCTTATTCTTCTTATATTCGCTCCTGGTCTGTCAACATTTAAAATGTTGGTCTATGAACTATTTACATTTGGATGCCAATTAATTGTTCATCTCATTTAAAAACTTATCTAAGCTTTAATTGGGTGAATTTTGTCAAATGTGAATTATATCTCAATAAAGCTGGTATTAAAAAAAGCTTAACCTTAAAGCATTTTCAAAGGTACTGTGAAGCAGCTTTGTATTAATGTGAGAAAGTGCAGAACAAATGGTTATTTATTTATATAAAGTTCCAAATCACATGGCTTTTAGAATACTTCACTTTTCAATTTTTGGTTTGTTTTAACTTAAGAAAACTTTCTATTTGACTTATATGTGTTTATCTTCATGAGGGAGGAAAGCAAATACAAGAGGTAAGCACTAAAATATTTAAATCTTATCTTTAGCATTAGAATGCTGTTTAGAGAGATGAACCAGAAGTCCATGTTCAAATATTTCACTTCATGCCTGGCTTCCCCGGGCATGACCTTCCACTGACAGTCTGAGATCAGGCTAGTACATGAGGAAGTAAGGAAATGTATCACTAAATTCTGCTCTTGTGATTTCTTTTTATGATGAACTTTTAAGGACTTTTCTTTTCAGGATATTCCATTTATCATTACAGAAAGCTGTATACCTGCACAAGTGGTGGCTGCCATTGATGTCAACACTGTCGCTAATGAAGTATACAGGTTTAATTTTCCTCACACACAGTTACTTGCCAAGACAATTGAGGTGAGTGATTGTTATTGTTTTGAGTATGTAGCAAGGGAAATTTAAAAACACTGGCAAATACTGGTTTCTCGTGGCTTAATTGGAAGATAAGTCACATATAAATTTAAGAGTTCAGGAGTAGGGAATGAGCATTTTATATCCTTTCAAAAGATAGCATCCTTTTTAAAAAAAAGTCCAGCTTTAGAGAGGGAGATCAATATTTTGGTATCTGAGAAATAATTAAAATGCAAGGGCAAGTTTGACTTCTAAATGCTTAGTTCTGTGGTATTAAACTTCAAAAAAGTACTTACTTTTATTAAATACTTGTGCAATATATATATAGCATGCAGTGTGAACAAGGGTGGAAATCATTGGCTATTATGGAATGCTCCATATTTTAGCAAACCTGTCAAGGTTAACCTTTTTCTCATGTGATGACTTCAGCACAAGTATTGAAACGCTAATGTATGTTGAGTTATTTTAAAAATAATGTGAAATAGGCCAGGTGTGGTGGCTCATTCCTATAATCCCAGCACTTTGGAAGGCCCAGGAGGGTGGATTACAAGGCCAGGAGTTCAAGACCAGTCTGGTTAATATGGTAAAACCCCATCTCTACTAAAAATACAAAAAAATTAGCTGGGTATGGTGACACATGCCTGTAATTCTAGCTACTAGGGAGGCTGAGGCAGGAGAATTGCTTGAACCTGGGAGGCAGAGGTTGCAGTGAGCCAAGATTGTGCCACTGCACTGTACCCTGGGTGACAGAGCGAGATTCCATCTCAAAAAAAAAAAAAAGTGAAATTGTGTTTTTCTTCTAATTTGCCTTGAAAAATTTTACAAATTTCCCATGAAGTCATAATTTACATGCAATAAACATGCCATTTATTGTATGTAATTTTAAGTGGGCAGTTTGAGTTTTGACTCAGTCATCAACCATGTAACTACCACCCTCCCAATCAAGACGTAGAACATTTCCTTCATGCTAAATTGTTCTTAGTGCCCCATTTCTGTCAGTCTCCAACCCCAACCCAGGTAACGATGGATCTACTTTCTTTTCATTATAGATTAAATTTTCTCTTTCTAGTATATCACAGAATCATAGAGTGTAATTCTTTTGAGTGGTACTGTTTTTGTTTAATGTTGATATTTTTGGAATTCATCATGTTTTGTTGTATATCAGTAGTTTGCTTTTTTTATTGTGTAATATTTCGTATAATAGAACATCAGATACTACAATATGTATATCTATTCACATTATTATAGACATTTAAGTCATTTCTAGTTTTTACTATTACAAGTAAAGTTGCAGTGAACATTAGTGTATATCTTTGTTTTCATTTCCTGTGGACGATATCTAAATTTATTAAACTTACAAGAAAATACCAGATTTTCCATGTTTTTGAAGTGTTTTTACCATTTGACATTCTCACTATTAATGTTTAACTGAGAAATTTCACATCCTTGCCAACACTTGATATTGCTGTTCTTTTAAATTTTAACCATTTTAGTGAGCATGTAGTGGTATTGCGGTTTTTAATTTGCTTCTCTCTGATGACTAATGAGATATAGTATCTTTTAATGTGCTTACTGGCCATTTATATATCTTCTCTGTCAATACATTTCTTCCCCAATTTTTGTTATTTGGGTGTTTGTATTACTATTATTTAATTGTAAGAGTGGCTTATCTTTTCTGGATTTCAGTTGTCCGAAATATGCATAACAAATGTCTTCTCCTATTCTCTAGCTTATCTTTTTATTTCCTTAAATATGTCTGTCAAAACACAGATGTTGTCTTGTAGGTAACATTTTTTGTGTGTCCTGAGGAATCTCTGCTTATTCAGTTTTTCTCCTGTTTTCTGAAATTTTATAGTTTTAGTTTTTACATTTAGGTCTTTGAACATTTAAGGTTACTTTTTGTATAGATTGTGAGATATGGGTCAAGATTTATTTGTTTTCTTATAAGGAGACATAAAGTTGTCCTAGAACCATTTACTGAAAAGAATGTCCTTTTCCTAATCAATTTCTTTGATGCCTTTATTTTAAAAAATCATGTATGTATGGTTCACTAAATGTCTTCTTTAAGATAATTAGTCATAATACTTACTCAATGTAAACTGAAATGTCTTTTTAAATATCCACATATCTATATCTATCTTTGTTTTATTTTCTTATTAGATTCTATAGGGTTTACAGTATGCATCTATTCCTTGTGGTATGCACCTTCAAATAACATCATACCACTTTATGTTTAAGTTTTAACAGTACACCTCCAATTTCCCCTACTGGTCTATTTTGTTATTTTGTCTTGCATTTTACTGCTACAAATGTTATAGACACCAACATACATTGTTACTATTTTTAGATTAACTAGTCAAATATCTATTAAAGAAATTTTTAAAAGCACAAAAAGTCTTTTACATTTATCTATATATCTATAGTTTTTAGCACTTTCTATTCTTGTTTTTTAGATCAAAGTTTGCATGTCATATAATTTTTCTTCTTGAAAAACCTTCTTTAGTGTCTCTTGTCATGTATATGTGGAAAGGGAAAATTACCTTGGTGCTTTTGATTTAAAAAGTATTTTATGTTGTCATCATTGTGAAATATAATTTTTACTGATTTTTTTCTTTTTTGAGAGACAGGGTCTCACTATGTTGCCCAAGCTGGTCTCAAACTCTTGGGCTTAACTGAGTCTCCCACCTCAGCTTCTCAAAGTGCTGGGATTACAGGTATGAGCCACTGTGCCTGGCCTGCTGAATCTTTGATTACATTCATTTTCAAAGATATTTTTAAAAAGCTGTTTGTTTTCTTTCAATATTTTCCAGTATTATCTAGATTGCTTAATTTCTGACTTTAAAGTCTGTGATAATTTCTATTTTCATTCCTCTTAATATATTGTGTCTTTTGCTATCTACATTTAAGATTTTATCTTTATCACATGTTTTCAAAAGTTTTATTTCTATGTGCTTTTTATGCTTTTCTTTATTTGTACTGCTTGGACCTTGTGGTGCTTTTCTTATTTATAATTTTCATCATATTTGGGGGTTTTGACCATCATTGCTTTAAATATAATCTCTTTCTCTCTTTCTCCAGTTACATATTGTAGAGTAAATAAGAGTTGCTGAAGACAGAGTGATCCATGATAAATATCATTAATGCTTCTGAAGAAGAGAATGATTCCAGTGGAACAAAAACAGTTAACAAAAATAGATACAATTTTTCCTGAAATGAAAGACAATGTAACATCCATGAGTCTTTCTGGAAGGGATGACTCCATCACTTAATCTAGCTAAGTAAGAGATGAATCAAAGTAGAAAACCCAGGAACGAAGCTGCCGTGTTAGGAGAAAAACTGTGGTTAGAAAATAGGTGAAAATGTTGTAAAGCTTTGCAGTGTAGAAATAATAATGTAATTGGAGTGGGAAGAGGAAGTGAGACACACACAAAATACGTGTTTGGAGATAAATGAAACTATCAATTTTTTAAGGACATTAATCAGTGTTATTGTCAGGGGATCAGCAGAGGTGGGAAAGAGAGAGCTCAGCCCTCAGAGAGTCAACGTTAACAAAGGCTTGTTAAGGCAACAAGCCAAAAACAAAAGAATTAGCCTTTACTCACTTACTGTGGTGTTACTGGCAAGAATCTAAGAGCAGAGACCATGCCACTCTCCTGGTTCCATTTACCCATGGATCAGTGTAGATGTGAGGGCCCTCTCACTGTTGAGGGAATCCCTGGCCTTAAGGGGAGGGCAAGCAGGGAGGGCTAGGAGTGGAAAAGTGCTGGGGACTGAGTCAGAGTGGCATACTCTTCAAGCATTGTCAGTGTCTTCAGGGTTTCCTACACCTTCCCACAAGGAGGCCTTGGCAGAGAAGTTCCCTCATCAGATAAGGAGACCTCGGAATGAAGGCTCTGGGAATAGGAATGCAGATGTGCTGAGACCTTTACTGCAGCTCCCCTCAGACTGTGGTGTACCAGCTGTATACCGAGTCTATTTGGGGAGGGGAGCCCCATTGAGGCCTCCTATGGAAAGCCTTTGTAACTGCCTGTGGTCAGGTGTGAAAAATCACACAGGTTTCTAATCAAAAGCAGGACTCCACAGTTTATCAAGATAACTAGTAATAAAATTAAAATCAGTAAGTTGTCTAGGTAGCAATGGGAAATTTCTAGTCACTAGTATATAACTATATATATATACTTCATGAGTTATATCGAACTCAGCACAGAAAGTCAACACCAGAACAAAAGTATGCCAAGTTACAGGGTTTATTGCTGGCGACCACGGAGGACTCACGTCTCTCCAACCCGTGGCCCCGTAAAAGAGGGTGACAAGACCTTTTATACCCGTAAAATCACCCTGGGGGTGAGGGGAGAGGATGGGGTGAGGGACTTCAGACATTCCGAGGGCCAGTGGATTCAAATCACCTTCTGGGTGGAGATGAGGGTGAGGGGGTTCCGGACATTTCGAGGCCAGGGGACTATTCTGATTGTCATTTAAGGAGTTCACAGATGCTAAGATTAGCATTCGTTTATACATCGTCTGGGTAGGGGTGGGATCCATAGATTTTCAGTTGCTTGACGCCAGGATGGAATTATCTGGGGGTGCTTACTCTGGGAAATAAAGGCCAGCAATTCTGGCAGATAAGAGAAGGTATGCAGCTTTACCTCTCTTTGCATCCTGCAGATGATCTAGCAATTTACAAAAGCCGAGGTTAGCAGTCCTTGTGAGGAGAATGGAAACAGCTTTGTTCTTTATAAAATGGCATTGTACAGGTTCTAACTCTAGGCCAGATATATCACACATGTGAGCAGAAACCTCATCTGGTTTGTTCCTTCTTATATTTCCAGACCTAGCACAATGCCTGGCATATAATAGATACTTGGAAATATTTCTGAATTCATTTATGAACAGTTTAATGAACAACATATTGTGCTCCCAAAATGGACAAAGAAATACCAGGAAAATGCTAATAAAGAATAACAGGGATATGAAAATTGATATTAGATAAGATGGATTTCAAGGCAAAAAATGTTTAAGTCATAGAAAATTGTTTTATGATAATTGGCACAATTCTCAAGCAAGGCCCTGATTGTCTTGAGTACATGTGCATAAAATAACATCAGAGTTCACAGGGCAATAAACGATAGGAAATACCCACTCAGTTTTTGTTAAATACCTAATATATGCTGCAAAGTAAGAAAACCATTGTCTTATGACTATAAACTCAGTAATTCTAAGTAAAATATGAACACTAGATCTGAAGCACATTAGAAGAATAATACAGTGTGATAAAAATGGATTTTGTTTCAGGAATGTAAAAGTAGTTTAGTATTAGGAATTCTGTTAATATTATTCAACATGTTAATAATCAGAAGAGCAAAGAGCTCTATGCCAGAAAACATTTGGCAGAGTTCAGTGTCTTTTTCTGATTATTTTTAATCTCAGCAAAATTAGAAAAAAATGAATATTACCTCGATATATATATGTCACTTACTAGCTTTGTATATGTTACTGACTTTTAGAGGTATATTGATATGGGGTTATATGGGAGACTGTGTGTGTGTATGTTTTTATCTGTGTTTAAGTGCACACACACGCATAGGTATAGATATGTCTAAACCAGGTAACATGCCAAGTGGTAAAACTTTAAAAGTATTCTCATTAAAATAATAAAAAGACAAGGATGTCCCCCATTAGCACTGTTACTTAATATTCTTGTGGATTTGTTAGCTAAGGTACTTACACAGAGAAATATCATATAAATAGAAATAAAGATTTTAAAAAGTGATTGAATATGCCTGGAAAACACAAACGTGTTAAGCAAAAATAGTAGATGAGGAACAATTAGTGCTTTAATAAGGAGGCTGGCTACAAAAATATGCTAACAAATAGCATGCTATATACAAACTAAAACCTATTAGAAAACATAATAGGAGAAAGTTTCTATTTTTGGTAAGAAGATGAAAGTTATAAATACCTAGAAATGCACTTAAAAAGAAATCTGTATAACTCACATGGGAGTTAAAAGAGACTTAAAAAATGATGAAAGCGTACAAGACCAATTACAATGTGGTCTTGGATAAGATGGCTGAATATTGTAAAAATATTAGTTCTCTTTCACTATAACTTCAATAAAGTTGTTTTTGTCTAATCTGCCAAGTTCTTCCTAAAGTTCAAATGAAAATTAAGTTTAAGAATAGCAAGAATACTTTCTGAGAAAAGAAGAAATAAGGCAGGCAGAGGGACAAATATACCTGTCAATCAACATGGGATGAACAGTGTTAGCGCAGACTTGATCTAATATTGTCTGAAAGCAGAAGTATTTTCCTTAACTTGAATAGCCATATAATGTAAAACGTGAATTTCCATTGGCTTTAAAATATTTAGTCATTAAAGATAACCTGTGCGTTTCCATGACTACTTTCTTTAATTCAGATACATTTTTCCTTGCCCTAGAATGCCAGGGTAAAGAAGTGGTGCTTGGTTCAATTTAGTGATGAATTTTTGCCTAACTGCCTTATCATTTGACGATTAAAAAAATCACTAATTTCAAGAATCTGTTAACGCTGTAATTTTTTTTAATGGCTAGCTATGTTAAAGACATTGACTCTTGTTTACTTCCTTTTGATTCTAGACATAGGATGCCCCTGGATTAATTGCTATGAGAGATTGTTGTTTTATTTTTACTTTAGTTTTAGGAATTTAGCTGTTACTATTCCCCGTCCAGTAGCTTATCATAATGGCCCTGTATGTACAGGCTGTTGAACTTGAATGTGATGTGCTGTCTAATACCCTACCGCGCATGTTCTGGCAGACTGCTAAGTGTAGGATTTTCAGATTGCTTTCCTTAGCACTGGGGAGTCTAGAAGTGCTATAGTAAATTTTCAGTATCTAATTTTGATTTCATTTTAACAGATACATCTTTATTTAAAATTCTATGATCAAAAACTGATAGACATGCACATTCAAACTTTTAATACAGTGGAGACAACTGATATGTTCTCACATTAACCCCCTCTCTACAGAATTCAGAGTAAAGCTTTTCCTGCTTTGTTCATGTGCTTGAACTTCTTAGAAGTGAGCTATAATTAGAAAGGTTTTGATTCTGGGCTGACTTCTTTAAGTTTCTATCTAAAGATGTGCACTAAGAGAGCTTAATGTGAGTTGGCAAACCCCTGACCTGTGTGTGCCTGTGTTTGTCTTCCAAGATACAGAAAGGGAGCAACATAGCACTGTTTTCAACTACTTAGCCCGTTAGGGATTCTTTTGAATCATCTTGTCAACAATCTTTTGAAGTTCATCGCACACAACTGCAAAACAAAATAATTGTGGCTATCTGAGAATGAGGCCATTTTTCATTTGTCAATATATTAACAGACATATATGATAGGGATGGTGACTGGTCTGCATATCACACTTGCTAAATAAAGAACGTTATTGACAGGTATTTAAAAATTTCCTAGACCCTATCCCATGAAAATTGTCAATTATAAAATAAGGTTTTCATGTTTTGCTCTAGAAAACAGCAGTATTACACTTGAGGCATGATACAGGCCAGATGTGCTTAGGATCCAGGAAACTACCATTCCAGCTCTGCTTGGGCTGGTTCTGGGACATTGGGGGAATTCCCTTAATTTCTTACAGCTTCAGTTTATTGCCCCCTTCCTTCACAGGATTGAAGTTAGTTAGTTAACTAACTTCACAGCTTTGAGAAGTTAGTTAATCAAAGTTGATTTGACAAGCATTGTATTATAAACTGTTTCAATATCTGATATATTTAGTTATTCTTAGTGTTTCCTTCTTCCCCATTCTATCCATATTTTTATGTCCTTTTTCCCCTCAAATGTTCATTCCTCAGGGCATTACACTCCAAGAGTTTGACAGATTATCTTTTGATATGATTTTAATGAGCCCTCCGTGTCAGCCATTCACAAGGTATGTATCATAAATATTTCAGTGTTGTATTATCCATTTTCATGCTGCTGATAAAGACATACCCAAGACTGGGCAATTTACAAAAGAAAGAGGTTTACTAGACTTACAGTTCCAGTGGCTAGGGAAGCCTTACAATCATGGGGAAAGGCAAGGAGGAACAAGTCAAGGGCAGCAGTTAAAGAGAGAGAGGTTGTACGAGGAAACTGCCCTTCATAGAACATCAGATCTCATGAGACTTATTCACTATCACAAGAACAGCACAGCAGAGACCTGTCCCCATGATACAGTTACCTCCTACCAGGTCCGTGGGAATTCAAAATCAGATTTGAATGGGGAAACAGCCAAACCATATCAAGTGTTGAGAAAGAGTGCTTTTGAAGGACTCATTAAATCAAATCATAGTTTCAAGCATGGACACTTTGAACTTTATCAGCTGCATTTTCATAGTTTGGAAATTTTTTAAATAAATCCTTTTATCTACTTATATTTATTTATTTTTGTTTTAAAATTATTGTTATTATTATTGGGACAGGGTTTTGCTGTCACCCAGGCTGTAGTGCAGTGGCATGTTCACAACTCCCTCCAGCCTCAATCTCCCAGGTTCAAGCAATCCTCCTGCATCAGCTTCCTGAGTAGCTGGGACTAAAGGTGCACACTGTCACACCCAGCTAATTTTAAAATTTTTTGTAGAGATGGGGGTTTCACTATATTGCCATGGCTGGCCTCAAAGTCCTAGGCTCAAGCTATCCTCCCACCTTGACCTTCAATGTGCTGGGATTACAAGTATCACCACCATTTCCAGCCCCCATTCATATTTATAATTAAGCATTAATCATAAAGGAAATAGTGATTTCTACCAGATGAGCAAATTAATTTGGTCAAAAGTGGATATGCAAGACTGTAGGATACCTCTTTTATGCTTATCTAAGACACAATGTTTATTTCTAGCCCAAATTACCTTAATTCATTTAAACTAATGAGCATTCAGGAATATCTTTCTAATACTGATTGAGCAAAGTGAATTTCCACAATACATGCTCAAGTCCTAAATTATTTAATTATACAATTTAAAAGCTAGTTAAGCATGCATTTGTGAACTTTACATTTCTTAAAATTCATATGTACATTGAGTAGTTCTGACTTTTTATAACCACATTATAATCTCTTCATTTAAAAAAATTATATATGTGTGTGTGTGTATGTGTGTGTGTGTGTGTGTGTGTGTGTATTTGGCTATATGTTTTGGGAAATTATATCTTCAACCAAATCTTGACTAATTCATCTTCATTTAAATATTTTTAATAATAGTATTTTGAATTGTTTTAAATGCTAATAGTAGTAGTACTCCTCTAAGTATCTTACATGGAGTATATCATTTAATTTAACAAGCTTATAGAGTAGGCATTGCTGTTATAATTATTTTACAGATGAGAAACTGAGGCATAGAAAGGTTAACTTTCTCAAGGATATATAATTAAAGAATGTTCGAGCCAAGATTTGTCAAGCATTTTATATATTCCATGATTTTAAGTAGAATATTATATGTAGTAAGCAGTCTAATTCAATGAATGAATATTCTAATGCAAAATTTTTTTCTAGGTTTGGATTTATGTAAACAATTATCTAGGAAATGAATTCTCCAAGGATTCATTGTTAACCTACAAGCCAGGCATTATTTTTGATATTGTAGATCCTGTCCTTTGGGAGTTTATAGTCTAATGGGAATGGCTGACAAATAATTTTCTTACAATGTGATTTAAGCTATGTAATAAAAGAATGCTGAAAATGCCACAAGAGTACAGAGGGCAAAAGGGCTTGCTGCATAGCAAGAGAAGGGAGTTCTTTCAGAGGTGACGTCTGAATTGTGTCTGAAAGTAGATTAGGATTTTATGAGAGCAGGCAGAGGCCATTCCATCTCAGGGTGGCTCTGGCATGTGCAAAGGTGTGGCCTGTGGAGCCCAGTGAACAGGATAAACACAGCAGAATGCAGCCCCAGTGCTGTGAAGCCTCAGGTCATACTACAGTGGGTTCCAGTAGCTTTCCTACTCCCCGCTTTACCTTGTTTTAGCATAGCTCCAGCTGCTGATGGCAGGAGTAACTAGTTCTGTAGTCTTCACGTGAAAGTCTGACAGGAAAGGGACAGAATAAGAAGAACTGGAGATTGCTGAGAAGTCTGTTCACATCCAGTCTAATCCCATAGCTGAGCCTCTGGTCCACTGATGGTTTTGCTCCTGCCATCAGATATGAGGAAATTGATCAGAGATGCCAAGTAACTTATTTAAGACTCTGAAGATAAATAGCATGCTTTTGAACCCTGGTCCTCTGTTCCTGCTGCTCAGGCTCAATTCGAGTCTTTATTATTGCTTTATCTGGTCATGCTGTGGATCTCACTTGTAGGTTCTATTTTGCTAGCCTAAATACTGCCTGTTTACATGACTTGTTTTGACCCTAGTTGTCTAACCAAGTTGCACCTCCTGCTTTTAGAATCTAGCCTTCAGCTTAAGTCTCTTCTGTTTATGTTGGACAAAATTGTGTTAGTTTTACTCACTATTTTGATTTGCTCAAATTGGCCACCAGTGCCAACAGCTCCAGGTTGCTACTCCATTCAGCAGCTCATTCATATGAATTCTTGTTATATCACCAAGGGGAGAGCAAGAAGTGTAGTCAGCCAGCACATGTGTATGTATATGTGTGTGTTTTCCTAAACAAAATGATTTTAAGAGGGTAGTTGGGTTTATTCCACACTGACTTCTTGTTCTTTTTTTGATTAATGTTAAGTCATTTGTCATGTTGTTTGTAAAGATAAATTTAAAGTGTACTTATTAGATATGCAAGGGTTTTTTCTTTTCAACCTGTCTTCCAGGTTTAAGTGATTCTGGTGCCTCAGCCTCTTTAGCTGGGATTACAGGTGTGCCCCACCATGCCTGGCTAATTTTTGTATTTTTAGTAGAGATGGAGTTTTGCCATGTTGGCCAGGCTGGTCTGGAACTCCTGGGCTCAAGTGATCTGCCTACCTCAGCCTTCCGAAGTGCTGGGATTACAGGTGTGAGCCACCACGCCTGGCCTAATTTTTGTATTTTTAGTAGAGACAGGGTTTCACCATGTCAGCCAGACTGGTCCCAAACTCCTGGCCTCAAGTGATCCATCTGCCTCACCTGCCAAAGTGCCGGGATTACAGGTGTGAGCCTCCATGCCTGAGCACTTTTTTCTTTCTAAGTGAATAAACGTATTTTTTTCTCTGTAACAACAAAGATGATTGTATTTTTCTGTGAGGACCAACTTATTTTTATTCTGTTTTGACTTTTAAAAAATGACTTCACATCTTTATATCAGATTCTTTTTTTTTTTTTTAATTTTTTATTGCATTTTAGGTTTTGAGGTACATGAGCAGAACATGCAAGACAGTTGCGTAGGTACACACATGGCAGTGTGTTTTGCTTCCTTTCTCCCCTTCACCCACATTTGGTATATCAGATTCTTAATAAACTTTTTGTGTTTCTTTTACTCCTTTAGGATTGGCCGGCAGGGAGATATGACTGATTCAAGGACAAATAGCTTCTTATATATTCTAGATATTCTCCCAAGGTAAAAACTTAGGTTCCTGGATAAGCTTACCTTTAATTTAAAACTCCAGGTCTGGAAGAATGTGGTGTTTGTCATTTTATAGAGGAGAGCCATTTATACATGTTCCCTTGAGATACTGTGCATGTCATTTATCTTCTCCTACCATGACTAATAGAATAACTGCAAATGTTTCACAATTCCACGCTTGCCCCCACAGTGAGTGACAGGGAATCATAGCCTAATAGCTAGATTCTACTGCCTCTGCTCATAGTGTTGATGCAGATGGCACTGATGTTAGTAAACGCTGTTCCATGGCCTGGAAATACGTGCTAACCCTTAAAGCCACCCTTCTATGTGAGTAGCAGCCCTTTCAGTTGTGCACCTCGGAGGCTCTGTGTGAATCCGTGTTTTGAGATAAGCTTCAATGGGAATTAACATTTCAAATGTTAACTTTATCAAGTGTGCCATGTTTAAGGGAAAAATGATTAAAATATAAATTGTCTCCAGCCTTATAAAATTCCGTTTCAAAAAGAGTTCAGAGAATTACTTACATCATGTTTCCTACAAGTAATAGTATTTACTTTTTCTTCTTAGTAATGAGATATTTAGAATTCCATTTTTTTTTTTTTTTTTTAGATTACAAAGATTACCAAAGTATATTCTTTTGGAAAATGTTAAAGGTTTTGAAGTGTCTTCTACAAGGTAAAAAAATGTATTTGTCTTGCATACATCTTAGACTTTGTATGTCTTATAGTAGGAACTGTTGTGAAATGGAAATCTTAACAACCAGTGCATACATTCTGACATTTTACGTGTTATATGTCTTATTCATCAGTATTTAGTTTGACTAATAATGTAATGTATTTCAAAATTTTATTCAACTAATTCTCTTCTATTTTGATATTTTTGAATTTGTCTGGAGTAAATGCTTAGTAAAAATGGCATTTCTCAATTTTAGTCATTTATGTTGGTGCTTATTTCTGTGGAGGTAGAAATGTTTTCAGTAAGTATTGGTTCTGTTGACAAGCATTTTCTGCCCTGCAGTTGGATGCAGCTAGAATCTCTGTGTGGGGGTTCTTTCAGATGGTAGCTCAGCTGGAGAGAAAGCATCTCCCTGAGTCCTTGAATCAGCTGCTGTCTGTAACAGTGCTCCCATCTGACTTGCTACCTTGAAGATAAAGTTCTAGTTCCTATGGCAGATATATCATCACTAGATTAGCAATTCTAACTTTCATTAATTTGGATAGTTTATCTGTCAGCTTTATTTATTTGTAATAAAGAGTTATCTATATCTTTTGATTAAATGTGATTTCTCAGATATTGAACTTAGTAAAAACGTAGGGTCATTGCCTTTATAAACAAGCGAAGTTACAGGTTTCACTTAAAATGAGGTTTTGTGGGCCAGGCGCAGTGGCTTAAGCCTGTAATTCCAGCACTTTGAGAGGCCAAGGTGGGTGGATCACAAGGTCAGGAGGTCAAGATCAGTCTGGCCAACATGGTGGAACCCTGTCTCTATGAAAAATACAAAAAATTAGCCAGGAGTGGTGGTGGGTACCTGTAATTCCAGCTACTTGTGAGGCTGAGGCAGAGAATTGCTTGAACCTGGGAGGTGGAGATTGCAGTGAGCTGAAATCACGGAATTGGGCGACAGAGCAAGACTCTGGGTCTCAAAAAAAAAAAAAATGAGGTTTTTGCGTACGTTATTTAAATAAGAACTGTCTTTCCAAGTAAAGAATGAAAGCTTTTTTTTTTTCCTTTTCAGAGATCTCTTGCTACAAACAATAGAAAATTGTGGCTTTCAGTACCAAGAGTTTCTATTATCTCCAACCTCTGTAGGTACCACAGTTACAAATGCTTATGTAGATTATAATCTAAAGGCTTTTTTTTCCCAAAGGAAATTTGATTCAATAAGCAGAGTGGCTTTATTTTGGATAATATTATAGGTAAATTCTGAAAATAGTTTAGATATGGGTCTTCCTTCCCAAAGAATTTAGTGCATGCATATAAATTCATTTATACATATTTTATGAAAAAAAAATTATATAACTTGAAACTCAGACTATATTTTTCTTTTAGAGAGCAAAGGGATAGCATATTTTGAAAATATGTCGTTTGTTATTTCCAAACGAGGTGTTAATAATGTTAATAATTCATAATGTTTCACAATAATACAAAATAGAAAACAAAATAAACACGTAGTAACTTTGTAATGACTGCTTTGGGGATATAACATTAAGTTGCAAACATTGCTTCCATTTCATAGATAAGAAATTTAAGTAATTGATCATGATAAGATATTTGACAGATTTGAATTTTACAATTGTTGCTGTCAGCTTTTTTTATTTTTCTTTTTAGTTTCTTATCATCTTTAGCCATATCATATTGTTTCTTTGTCCAGAAATTAATAGAAAACCCATTACAAAAACTCAAGATACAAGCTGTGAAAATTGCAACATATTTGATCTCTTTTTTTTTTTTTTTTTTTGAGACCGAGTCTTGCTCTGTCGCCAGGCGCCAGGCTAGAGTGCAGTGGCACGATCTCGGCTCACTGCAACCTCCGCCTCCCAGGTTCAGGCAATTCTCCTGCTTCAGCCTACCGGGTAGCTGGGACTACAGGCGCACACCACCATGCCCAGCTAATTTTTGTATTTTTTTAGTAGAGACGGGGTTTCACCATGTTGGCCAGGATGGTCTTGATCTCTTGACCTCATGATCCACCTGCCTTGGCCTCCCAAAGTGCTGGGATTACAGGGGTGAGCCACCACGCCTGGCCCTCTTTAAATTTATTTTGTATCTATTGCCTTTTAGCTGGTAAAACATAGTGAATCATCCTTTTTTTTTTTTTTTTTTTTTTTACAAAATCAGGTAATAAATAGCCAATAATAGCTATATTTGAATTTTTAAATTATTACTCTATTATCAATAATGAATGTAAAAATATCTATACTACTTCTTATCTGGAAAATATAAAATAGAAGTGACTTGTAGATTTATTTGTCAGCTTCAGGCTTTACGTCATTCAAATAAAAGTGCAAAGTATCAGCTTAACAGGTTTAGAATTTGCTACAGTGGGGTCTTCTAAACATCCATAGCAGATTTTGCTCTGGTAGAAGCTAAAGGGAGACCTGTATGAGTTTTTTTTTTTTTTTGACTTGGTACTAAAGTTAGTACAGATCTCTTTAATTTTCTAGAGTAACTAACTGCTTTGCTTTGCTTACAGCTTGGCATTCCAAATTCAAGGCTACGATATTTTCTTATTGCAAAGCTTCAGTCAGAGCCATTACCTTTTCAAGCCCCTGGTCAGGTATTATTATTGGAATTTTATTATGAGTATTATGGTTTATTTATTGTAAATATACATTAGTCTGCTAATTTATTTTCAAGAACTACTTTATGTAGGTGTCTGTGTGTACTATAGAATTGGAAGTATATTCCATGCCCTAGGTCCATCTCCAAGGCTGTTTCACTCTTGCCACTTTTATTGGTTTAAACAAAACAAAATGAAAAAACCCAATTTTTCTTTTCCTCATTAGAAAACAAATGAGTTAAAAAACTTACCATTAGTATTGTTATCTTCCTCTTTCCCCCATAATTTCCCATCTGACTGTTGACTGTTTTGCATTTATCATTTTATCCTTCCCGTAGAAGCCATTGGTTACTTTTGATAAAATTTAATATTTTATCTTAAAAGTGGCTTATGAGTATTTTAACACATTGGTTGCATTTTCTTTAAAGCCAGTGCCATTTAGTTTACTTGATTAAAATATAGTAATGATTAGCAAAAGCTAGAATAAAATAGTCAATTTGCTACATATAGAATCTCTGTGTGAGCAGTTTCACATGCTTAGGTCAGAAAATGGGGATGAATAACTGAGTTTCAGCATTTCAGTGAAATTCTTCTTAACTGATGTAGGTAAGGACACAAAAGTGACGTCCACTAATAGGGGATCCGTAGTGCCACCTCAGTCCCCTTATAATATAATAGTAATATTGTTCCCTTTCCATAGTAGGGAATTCCAGTGTAAAGTTAATATACCTTATACATTGTGTTAAGTTAGTATTAATTTTATACATTGACTTCAAGGACTTCATCATTAAAAATGCGTGGAATGGTTTTTCTTTTACAAAATAGGGCTTTATGCGCGGTTATATGTTCTGCAGAAACAAGTTTCCCCATGGGACTCATGAGTAGAAGTAACCTTTCACAGTGAAAAGCGCTTTTCTTTTTTTAATTGCTAGTTTTCCTTTAGATCATAGGTATGTTTCAGTTTTTCCTTTTTAATGAAGGAGTATGGCAAAACTTGATCCAAAACATGTTTTCTGGAAATGTTAGTGTTGCTTTCAAAACGTCTTTTCCAAATATGATAAAAATATGTTGTATCTATATTCAATATGCTTTCTATTACTTTATTGAACATTTTCATTAATAAATAAATAGTAGTTCATGAAATAAATCATCTGTAGCTTGATGACAATGTAGCTGTATGATTAATAACTTGTAATAATTTGTTCAAATACAAGTAAACCACAATTTCTATCTTTTAATGGCAACCCCATAAAGACTAATGAGCTTTTTTCATAATGATGACTGGACATTATTAATTTCTTTTATTTTTAGTGAAGTTTTTGACAATGTGCATATTTTTATGTAATGCCAGGTACTGATGGAGTTCCCCAAAATTGAATCTGCACATCCACAAAAGTATGCAATGGATGTCGAAAATAAAATTCAAGGAAAGAACACTGACCCAAATATTAGCTTTGACAGCAGCATACACTGTTCTGGAAAAGATGCCATTCTTTTTAAGCTTGAAACTGCAGAAGAAATTCACAGGAAAAATCAACAAGATAGTGATCTCTCTGTGCAGATGCTAAAAGATTTTCTTGAAGATGACGTTGACATGAACCAGTATCTTTTACCACCAAAGTCATTGCTGCGATATGCTCTACTATTAGACATTGTTCAGCCCACTTGTAGAAGGTCCATGTGCTTTACCAAAGGGTAGGTTTTAAAGATCTGTTCATCTTGTATCTAAAATAACCAGGGTTTTTAAATGCTATTGCTTCTTTAAGTTTTCTAAAAACAAGGAGCATTTTATAAAATGTTCTTGATAGAGTGATGTTTTTTCCCTTAACTGCCTGCTTCGTGTTCCAACAGAACACAAGTAAAAATTCCATTTGGCAGAACATTATGTGCACCACCCACAAAATTGCTCATAAAATACAATGTCATTTGTTTGGTGACCTTCATAGGAGCTTGAATACCCATAGTGGAAACATGGTTTCTGTTGACGATTAATTGCTAATCTTTTAGCACTTTTCTATTTATGGCACATCATACCTCAAAGAATTGTGTTCACTCTTATGATCAATGTGTAATAAGAAATTAAATTTTAATCTAAAGAAGTAATATTGAGTCATCTGGAGAATATTAGGGTAACTTTTAAGTTTAAATTTTATTCAGGTTTTTACATAAGTACAAAAGATACTAAGATTGTAAGACTCTTCCACTTTATCTCTTGGCTGTTCAGTTTCTCCTCACATGCAACCAGTAATATCAGTTTACTGTATAGGTTTCCAGAGGTATTATGTTTGAAACTGGATTGAAATATCCATGTATATTTTATCCCCCTTTGTAAGTATATGGCATCATACTATATATAAACCCCTCTTTTCACTGTGCAATATAAATGGAATATTATCACATATCAGTACTTAAAGGACTTTCTGTTTTCATGGTACAGGTATATTATAATTTACTTTACTGGTCACCTATTAATGAAAATTTAGAGGGCTTCCTTTGGGTTATTTCTTAAATGTATAATACATTTCTCACTACTTTTTTTAAACCTAGAAAGGGGAAAATTATACCTTTTGAAGAAAAATTTTACCCTGGCATGGTGGCTCATGCCTGTAATCTCAACACTTTGGGAGGCCAAGGCAGGTCAATCACCTGAGGTCCGGAGTTTGAGACAAGCCTGGCCAGCATGGTGAAACCTGTCTCTACTAAAACTACAACAATTAGCCAGGTGTGGTGGTGGGCACCTGTAATCCCAGCTATTCAAGAGGCTGAGGCAGGAGAATTGCCTGAATCCAGGAGGCAGAGGGTGCAGTAAGCCAAGATCACACCACTGTACTCCAGCCTGGGTGACAAAGTGAGACTCTTTCTTAACCAAAAAAAAAAAAAGAAAGAAAATTTTTTGCCAAAGATCTGTATCTTTTCTTTCTTTCTTTTTTTGAGATGGAGTTTCACTCTTGCGCAGGCTGGAGTGCAGTGGTGCGATCTCAGCTCACCACTTCCTCAGTCTCCTGTGTTTAAGCGATTCTCCTGCTTCACCCTCCCAAGTAGCTGGGATTACAGGCATGTGCCACCACACCTGGCTAATTTTGTATTTTTAGTAGAGATGGGGTTTCTCCATTTTGGCCAGGCTGGTCTTGAACTTCTGACCTCAAGAATCTGCAGCCTCGGACTCCTAAAGTCTTGGAATTACAGGTGTCAGGCACCGCCCCTGGCCTATCTCTGCTTTCTGAATGTTACTCAACCTCATTTGTTAGGTAGTTGTATGATTTGACAATTCAGGCTTTCTGTTCTTACCTTCTATCTAGCTATTAATATCTCGCATGATATACTGTACCCCAATATAACCGTACCAGACTCATTCTTACTTTATTATACTCTGCCTTTGTACTTCACGGGAAAGGGTTTATTGCTTTCCATTACCTTGAAAGACTTCACTGGGATATTGTCAATTACCAAGTTCAATAGGTTCTGTTTAGGACTCTCATAAAATAAGACAGCAAGTTTGTAATAAAAAACAACGTTGAAATTCTTTTATAATTATAAAGATAAATATAATTATATTTATATAATTATATAATTATATAAATATAATTATAATTATAAAAGAAGGCTGATTGCAAAATTTATTTTGGTATAGATACTATGTGTATATTTACACATATTTATATGTGTAATATATGAGAAAAAAAGTCTGAAAAAATTATTTCTTTTCTGGTGTTACTTTTTTCCTCTAATTCCCACTTTAAACTTTTCTCATTGTGAAAAAGAAATAATGCGATTCTGTTGAATAGCCAGCTTGGCAATAACCTTAGAGAAAGAAATAATGCTAATGCCTTGCATTTCTGAAGTATTTTATACTTTCTATGCAATTTTTTATGTAATGGTCTGATTGTTGTATGAAAGTGATCATAAAAACCATACCATGGTTGGCCAATACCATGTTGGCCAGGTTGGTCTTGAACTCCTGACCTCAGATGATCCACCTGCCTCAGCCTTCCAAAGTGCTGGGATTACATGCATGAGCCACTGTGCCTGGCCCATTTCTGAGACATTTAAATGGTACTGTCTTATGTCTTTTACCTAGTAATATTTTGCCTACAAAGAATATTTATGTGATATTATTCAAGATATTTCAGAAGGATGCAGTTATGTAGAATGATTAATTCATTCAATAAATATTTAAGAAATTTAGCATTAACCCATACATCAGGTGCCACATAATGGTTGTGTTGATTTTTCAGATATGGAAGCTACATAGAAGGGACAGGGTCTGTGTTACAGACTGCAGAGGATGTGCAGGTACTATGCATATTTTAAAACTTAAACACTTTAAAACTTTTAACTAAGATTGTTTAATACTTACTTTGAGAACATTAAAATAATTGTATGCATTCAACTGGCCATGAATATTTTTTTTATTCATTCAAATATATAATACTTGATTACTATTGAATAAATCTTTTTCTTATTGCTGTACATGAGTATATGCACAAGGAATGTTTTGTTTTTCTTTTTCTTATTTTTATCTTCTGTGTTTCTATTATTCCATAAATAGTAAGTTGAAATTCAGCCTACAATAGTTAATGTTCTCTAAAATGTTATACAAACATCTTAATATTGGAGACCCCTTTGAAGCACACACTATAAAACTTCCTTTTAAGGAAAAGAAAATCTTAGCAATGTGCTTTATGAATACTTCTGTTGTTAACTCTTCATGGTGTCATGGTTGAAAACAGGCCTAACGTAGCAAGTTTTATATTTTTTAAAATAATTTTAAAGTGAGATTATATTATCTTCTTTTATACTGATTCAAACTTTTAACTAGTGATAAAATTTACCCATGGTAAAAATTCTGTTATAGGCAAATGAGTGTCTGGATTTGAGAAATTATATTTGCTTAATATAGTTAATCATTTTAAGGAAGTATCTTGATGAAATTGAGTATGAAAAATAAAAGTTCTAATGATTCTTCTGTTTTTATTATAAAACCTACTTGGTTGTTTTGTCAAACTTCTTTTGTATTTTTCACTATATTTCTTTAATATTGTCATTTATTATTTATACTCTTACGGTTTTATTTTAAGGGCTTAAAAATGACAGATACCTGAAAAGTAGCCTGATCTTTTGCGTGTTAACCTTTTTCTTTTTAAAGTTTACGTTGCCATTGCGGAGCCAATATACAGTCTATTGCACAGAGCCATTTTGCCCTGTGCACTTTGCCACTGTGTGTTACAGCAGACTGTATGTCCATCGAGTTTAAGCTGTCTCACAACAGGAGATCTTACATCTAGTTACATGATACTTTTTTAGTTATCTTGGGTGCTTTCTTACAGATTGAGAATATCTACAAATCTCTTACCAATTTGTCACAAGAAGAAAAGATAACAAAGCTGTTAATGCTTAAACTACGATATTTTACTCCTAAAGAAGTAGCAAATCTCCTTGGATTTCCTCCAGAGTTCGGTATGTGGGATACATGTAGACTTCAACTTTCATGTATTAAAGCTCCTAAAAATCTTTAGGGACTTGTGTGTCTAGGAGTTGCCTAAAGAAATGGGTGCAATAAACCTTGTTCCTTTCCTGATCATGCCATTTTTGGCATCTTCCTGCCTCTTTCCCCTTATAACTGCCTCATTTTGTTCTCTCCTGACTCATTCTCCCTCTCACTAACTTTACTAGTGGGCCACAGAAGTTGGCCTGGCTAGAAGGTTCACATTCGCAACTCCTCACCTCTTTCCACAGATGTCTGTGCATAGCATTCCCTTTCTGGCTTACTTTCTTCCAGAGGTCCTTTCCTAGTCACCCCACACTAGAGCTTGTGAAAGTACGCTTTTGATTGCCTTTTAAAAAATATATCTAAATTAAAAGGCAGTTGAGGGATTATTTTGGAAGGGTTGGGAGTGTATTGATATTTATTCTCCTCAGAGATACCTGTGTCAGCCATGTGCCCTTATCCTTCCCTACAAGTAGTAGGTGGAGAAAGAGAAGATGGAGAGACTGTCTCTAGGAAGGAGCTTTCCTAATGGAATGAAAGGGGAACTCAGGAGATGAAATTGATGCAGGAAATTAATTGACACAGAATTGAAGAAAGACTGGGGACCTACAACAAGGAATCTCAAGAACAAATGGGAAGATATAGTTGTAGAGTGAGAAAGTCAAAAGCCTAACTCCATTAGCAGTCCAGAAAGTCCAGGGATTGGTGCTCTGAAGGGATTGGACACACTGCTTTGGCCTCTCAGAGATGCCCCAGCCCATCTCCTTGATCCCACTGTCAGGGCCAGTGCTCACAGCTCTAAGGAGGTTGTGGGTTCTTAGGCCTGGGATGAAAATGCTCCCAGTACCTGGTTGATGGGCTGGGAGAAAGACTGACCTCCCTAGCATGCTTCCATGGCTAGAGAGGGTGGAAATGTGCTTTTGAGGACTCTAATTGAGAGTTCGAATGCAGAAAAGCCAAACTTTGTTAAATCCAATACTTTTGTAATATTAATATGGCACTATTCTTCAAATAATGGGCTTAATAGATCATGTTTCAAATTCTAAATAATTGATTTAACTGCGGTTTTGGAACACAACCCTTTTGTACATGGAGAACAAACTGCCAATATAATTTGACTACCCTCTTGGTAACTAATTCTCTGAGCGTAGTCGTGGCAACCAGGTTTATTTTCTACTCCTTGCCTCTTTCTTGGTGATCTCAATTTTGTCCCAAATGTCCTGGTGAGTGTTGTTTAAGAAAAACACAAACTTTCCTTGTCTTAGCTTATGTCACAAAATGAGTGAGAGCATTACAAAACAAAGAGTTGAGAATTAGACTCAAGGATTCTCATTCCTGGTCTGCTTTCCTAGCTACTATTTTTTTTTCTTTTTTCAGATAAGTGATCAGACATACTACAGAAGAGAGAAAAGAGATTATTAATTAAAACTAATTCCTCAGCTTTATTCCAGTGCTTTTTCTTTTCAAAGAGTAGTAGTCACTTTGGTAATACTGAACCTTGGTAAGGAGCACAGAGCCCAGAGTCAGACAGTGACTTCAAATCCCAGCCCACCTTAACTGTTCCCTTTAATTTACTTGTCTGTAAAATGAGGATAATTACAACACCTACTTCATAGGGTTATTGTGATAGTTAAATAACTTAATATATATGAAATTCTTATATCTGAACATTGCATTTTTAGAATGAGCCATTTATTTACTTTTATAATCTTTATTTCATAGATAATTTTCCCTTTATTTTTATGTTTTAAGTGGGTAAAATAGAATTTTCCAAAGCTCTCTGATTATGTATGTATAATACACAGAAAAACAGCCTTTGAAATTACTGAACCTCCTTTTAAAATACATGGTATGTTTGTGGAGTTGAGCTTACCCTGATGTCACCACTGAGCAGCACCGTGATAAAACTGTCCCTCGTGTGTGTTTCCAACATTATTGACTCTGGGTTCAAAAATGGGCATTGTTTGAGCTCTTTGTCTACTGGCAATGATGGATTTGCATTGATCCTTCCAAATGCTTTGTCCTGGTTCTGTGACTGGTGGTGTGCATTCTGTGGAATAGTGGGCTTTTGAAGAAAAACACTCACCTGCCCTTACTGGGCATAAGCTGATACCTTGACCTTGTTCATTCTGTGTTTCTTTGTTCTTAAGGATAATTCTTATTATTTTTAATGTATCTAAGTTTTTTAAAAGTTGTCTTTTAACTTAGAAAATTATGTAATTTTTTCCCATAAGTTGTTAGGTTGGTACAAAAGTAATTTGCTATTACTTTGAGTGGCAGAAACCACAGTTACTTTTGTGCCAGCCTAATAGTTTAGATTTAAAGAAATATGCACAGATGCACACACACACATACACACATAGATATAATTTGTACAGATCTTACTTGTCTTCAAACATTTCTTTCCTTCCAATATAATTGTAATATTGTAAAAGATTGTCTCTGGGATAGTCTAAAAGCCTATTTTTAGGCACATTTGTACCTCTGGCTACTTTGAAGTAAATACTTTTAGATAAGTAATGTGCTTGCCTAAAGTATATTCTTTAGAATAGAAACTTTATGATCATATGTAATTGCAACAGTAATTACAGTAATTACTGTTGTTTTATTGCAGTTAATAAAATGTCAAGCATCGATGAAGCAACATTACTGTAACTAATTCTACCTTACTGTCCTCATGAGTATATGAAATTTTGCCATTCTTAATACTTCTAATTATTTTTTTCATTTTCTTATCTAAGTTATTTTTCCTTTATTTCCTTGCTATGCTAGAGTATGCTGAATGTGAAATCCTGACATTTTAACTACCATTTTAGTGCATACTCTTTTACATGGACAATCTTTTATGCTGATATTTGCAAGGTCTTCTTTCAGCATCTGAAAGCATTTGTTTTAAAAAAGGAATGTAGCAAATGAAAGTCCAATATGACAGAGGCAATTTGTGGAAGGAGAGTGTAAAAACAACTGTGGGGGACTTGTATCCAGAATATGGATATCAATAATAGTATTGATGAAGATGTGGAGATATTGGAAGCCTCATACAGTGCTGGGTGGGAACGTAAAATGGTGCCGCTGCTTTGAAAAACAGTCCAATGGTTCCTCAAACATTAAACACGGAGTTACTGTGTGATCCAGCAGTTTCACTCTAGGTATATACCCAAGAGAATTGAAAATATATGTCTACACAAAAACATACATGAATGTTCATAACAGCATTATTCTCAACAACGAAAAAGTAGAAACAACCCAAATGTCTGTGAATGAATGAATGGAAAAATAAAATGTGGTAAACCATACAATAGAATATTATTCACCCACAGCAAGGAATGAAGTATCACTACATGCTATGACATGAATGAACCTTTAAAACATGTTCAGTGAAAGAAGACAAAAAACAACCTATTTTATGACTCCATTTATGTGAAAAATAATCTAGTAGACACCCATAGAAACAGAAAGTAGATTAATGGTTGGGGACAGGGAGGCAATAGGGAGTGACTGCTAATAGGTGCTAAAATTTTTTTTTAAGTAATGAAAATATTTTGGAATTAGATAGTGGAGATGTTTGAAAATCTCTTGACTATGCTAAAAACCTCTTAATCGTACACTTTAAATGGATGATTTTTATGCTATGCAAATTATATCCCTAAAATGATTATTAAATCAAAGAAAGAACTGTGAAATAATGGCAGCCACAGCTTTTTAAAAAGTACACTAATACATGCACTTTTTAAAATAATATCTGAGTTCTGTGGATATATGTGTACCTGTGTGTGCGCTGAACATAACACATAATGTGATATGCTACTATCTTACTGTGTAGACAATACCATGTTATAGAATATGTTTGGCTCCAAATTCTCTTTTGTTAATAAAAGTTCCTGAAGACCTTAGTGATTTATTTATGAAATGACCACTGTGCCCTTACTGAAGGATACATCCTTTCATCTCTGGAAATTGTGATTACAAATGATTTCTATAAATTGCTATTTGTCTTTTCCAGGATTTCCTGAGAAGATAACAGTGAAACAGCGTTATCGCCTACTTGGAAATAGCCTCAACGTGCATGTAGTAGCTAAACTAATCAAAATCCTGTATGAATAATTTTAAGTAACTCTGAAAGGTGGTCATACGATATTCCTTCATTTTCAGAGAACAATTCTGAAATTCTGTTTTGAACTAATTCTGGTGAACTGTAACTAAATTATTTTAATCCATCTTTAATATGAAATTTGGATTTTATTTTAAAAATCCACATGGTTTTCAAATTTATGTTAGTGTATTTTATAAAATATAAATTATTGTTATGCTTTATGGAGAGTATATTTTCATATGGAATGTAAATATGTATGTGGAATATTCTTTTTAAAAATTATGCTATAAACAAAGAGCACCTAGAATTTTAGTGTCTATGTTAATATCTTGTGAAGTGTCATAACAGGCCTAACATTTTTATGTTAATTTAAAAAGTTTTTTATTTCTAATTTTAAAATGATTCTAGTTCTAGCCTATTGAATGTTTTACTTAATTTCCAATCCTTTAAACATTTCTTTATTTCATCTAAACAAATGCATATGATATGTAAACCAAACTATCATTATTCAATTTATACAGCAGTCTGAAGAATATGTCAGGAAAAATAATCCTCAATTTTTGATTACCTCTCCACCAAGTAGTCACAGAAAATGTTGGTGCTCATTATCTACATTTTCCTCAGCCTCTATCTGAAGGACAACACTCATTGTTCCTTCTTCATTTTGTATGTACTTTCCTTTAGTTTGCTATTATCAAAGCTTGTTTTTGTCTTCTTAGCTTCTGAGTTTAATTTGCCATTACACACTGAGGAATGTAGCACGGTTAAGATTTCGGGGAGGAAGCTGTCCTCTGACCCCATGCCGTATGACATCCCCTTCCCACAATTGTTTTTTACTGTGGTGACATATACTCTGAATTAACTTTTAGGGCTTTTAACTTTCTCTGTCTCTCATCCTCAGTAGGTTTCTTGGAATTAGAGTTTCTAATCAAACTAAGTCATGCATCATAAATTCCACGGTTTGTGATAAAAGTAAGTGACAAAGAGAGATGAAAAGAAACAAGTCCAGAGATCTTACTACAGGATTTTTATTCAAATATTTATTCTTAAAAATCAACTATTTGGACGTGGAGAAATTGAAAGTTTGTGCATTCCTTGTGGGAACATAAAGTGGTGCAGCAGCTGTTGGAAAACAGTGTGGAGGTTCTTCACAAAATTCAACATAGAATGACCCTATGATTCAGCATTTCCACCTCTGGCTAGAGACCCAAACGAGTTGAAAGCAGGGTCTTGAGCAGATATTTGTACACCAGTGTTTATACCACCATTGTTCACAGTAACCTAAAGATAGAAGCAGCCCAAGTGTCATCCCATTCACCCATGACTGGATAAACGAAATGTGTTACATGCGTGTAGTGGAATAGTACCACCTGCAACAGGAAGGAAATTCTAACATATGCTGTGACACGGACGAACCTTAAGTACATCATGTGAAATGAAATGAGCCACTCTGCAGGGAGGGAGAATGGGTAATTAGTGCTTTATGGGTATACAGTTTCTGTTTGGGATGATGAGAAAGTTCTGGAAGTGATGGGGAGGGTGATTGCACAACAGTGTGAATGTACTTAATGCCACTGCAACTGTAAATTTAAAAATAGTTTGTGATAAATGTAACATGTATATTTTACTGCAATTGAAAACATACTCTATTACCAATTTTTCAGAACTCAGATAAATATGACTATAGGGAAGCTGTAAGCCAGCCCTGTACAGAAACTATTACTATCTACATTTTGCATATGTGTTCAAAGACAGAGCCTATTACAAGTCTCATAAGTTCCAGTAAACAGTCAAATTATTTTGGCACATTTTCATGTAGGTTCTCTTCACTGCTGAAAGATTCTAAATAAAATGGTTTAGGGTTTTACTGTGACTGTACTAATAGCTATGCTATAGTTATAGTATCCTACACTCTGTTGAGCAACATTATACAAAATAAGTGTGGTTACCGAGCACCAAATTTGAACACTTGAAAGGTCTGTAGAGACATTGCTTACAAACTGGAAGACAGAATGTAGCTTTGTGGAATTTTTAAATTATGGAAATGTATTCACAGGAAGATGGTGATTCTTGCCCTTAATTCATAATTGAAAATATACAGTAACAAGCATAAAAACTCACATCTTAATGAAGATGTATCTACCAGTGTCATTTAATTAGCAGGTGTATAGGTATGCATAATTAATTTGGAAAATGCTCTTTATGGAATGTCTGCTATATGTTTTTTGTAATGCTGTATAAAATTTGCACTGGAAATTCTGTTTCATGATATTTGGGCCTGTATATTTATTCAGATGTTGGAAAACATAGCTTCTCATTATCAAGAGAACTATGTGTAATTCAGTCTTCACCATACCTAACAGTAAACTGATTTTTCATTCTCCTTTTCCCATCACCTCTGCTCTTTTAAGTGGCTTGTGAGGTAATTCTAAGTTATTTATTACCCTGCCTCCTATTTTTAATATGGCTTCAGGATCCAAAACTAATTCTAAAGGATGATCAAATCAATTAACGTAAACAAAATGAGTCATAATTGGAAAATTATTTTGAAGACATGGGTAGTCATTGCAGGAGGGGTCAGAGCCTGACAATCCTCAGTAGGAGAGATGAAAGAGGAATGACAGCATCACCTTCTCAGAGGACCCTGGACAAGGTGTTCTGGCTGTTCAGTCAGACCTGCACCATGGGCATTGCCCTGTGCCTGGAAAGGTAAGAAAGTACCTCCAACCTTCAGCTAGCTTGTTCTTCCTCAAAAAGTAGAGCCTTCTAAAGAGGCAAAACCAGTAGCTGAAGTTGTGAACAGTAAGGGTCCACCCAACACTTTTTTTTTTTTTTTTTTAGAAATTTGAGGGTAAATTGTTGCTTGAAATGATCCAACTTTTGAAAGAGTTAAAGTTGTTTAGTATAGAGGCTTTTAAGTTGCCCTGAAAGGCTGCATTGCTACCATGTGAGATGTAAAGTTAGGTGGAGTTAGAGGTGAGTGCGGGCAATTCAGTGCATTGCTTGTGGGTAGAATTCCTCAGCAGAAACCCCCATCTGGCTTTTGCTCCCATCTCAACTTAGTTCAGGTCTAGAGGGATTAAGCTGGAGATTTCTGAGGAGAGAGAAATGAACTAAAGATAAATAAAACTGGTTTAACTTTAGCTATAGCAGAACAGAACAAAGCAACCTCATTTCATTCAACATCAAGCAACTACTAAACAATATATTCTCCAAGCCACTTGTATCTGCATCCAAACTAGTCACTCTGGTTGCTCTTCTGAAAAAAAGAAGTTTCTAAATAAGCCAAGATAATATAATAAGGACCAAATTTTAAGCCCACATAGATGAAGAGGTTAACGTGAGTTTTCTGAGTTGCTTATGTTAGGAACAGAAGGTTACCTTGTCATAATTTGGCCTTCAGCTTGGAGTTCTGTTTTAGGCCATCAGTTATGACACTGACTTACTAATAGCTTTGGACTTTGAAATTCAGTGAGGGTCATATAGCGTCAGCAATTTTTTTTGTAGCTTGTGATTGCATTGAGATTATATAATTTTTAAAGACATGGCCTTTGGACCTCTGTCTACTAATCTCTTCCTCTCATCATCTACCATTCAAATGTGCTATATACAACTATCATATCAACTTCTTAGCAAGCACTTTTCTGGTCCTCCATCATATCCACCGAGATGTCTAGTTATGCCTTTCCCTTAGCTTTTTTTTTTTTTGAGACAGAGTCTCACTCTGTTGCCCAGGCTGGAGTGCCAACGCAGGATCTCGGCTCACTGCACCCTCCCACTTCCATTCAAGTGGTTTTCCTGCCTTAGTCTCCCTAGTAGCTGGGATTACAGGCATATGCCACCATGGTTAGCTAAAAATAATTTTTGTATTAGGAGAGATGGGGTTTCACCATGTTGGCCAGGCTGGTTGCAAACACTGGAGCTCAAGTTGATCCCCCCACCTCAGCCTCCCAAAGTGCTGGGTATTACAGGTGTGAGCCACCGCACCCAGCCTCCCTTTGCATATTTTTTAAAAGGCATTAAGCATCTTGCACATGTTCTTTAGTTCCAGTTTGCATGGGTCAAGCTGTCTGCGTCATTTTCCCTTTCATATTCTTTGTCTTTGCTGCTAAAATTTTAAAGCTTCAGTGTAAACAACAACAAAAAAATGTCTTTTTTTTGTTTCTGGCTTCTGTTTCTCTCTTTAGGCTGTCTAGGAACATTTTAAGGTACTCAGGCTCTTCAAAATCTACACAATCAAGATCCAAACTCCATCACCATTCTTGTCTAGTTTGTGAATTTATTTCTTTTTAAATATATTTGTTCAAGAAATATGAGCATGTGCAAAAAGCTGTTTTGACTTTGTATTCCCCAAGCTCTCATATAAGTTGGTTAAATATTTACCATAGAGTCTTACTTTCAACCACATCCAGCACTTACTGAAGTCTCCCTCAAGTGTAACACCCTTGACTTTTAGAGCTTCCAAAATCTCCTTTTTCTTATAAATAAGAGACTGGAAATTTTTACAAAAACTAAAAGATAGGAATTTAATTCTCCCGTAGAATTCTCTTCTGAATAGCCCTAGAGTTTTTCATTTTGTTGCTTGTACCTAGCATGGGTTCAATGTTTACTTCAAATATTTGCTCTGTATTTTGTTTGCATTTTGATTTCTATTTTTATCAGAATAGATTGAAATTAGAAGAGTGTGCATAGAGAACATGTTTGTTTAGCTAAATTAGCTCTGTAATCAGATGAGATCACCTAGAGGGTCAGAGGATGAGAGTGAAAGTTAGAAAGAGAAGAGCAGAGACTTGGAGCTGACTTACCTGAAGATTCAGTCCTCAGGTCTCTTTCTACCCTTCACTTTTCAAGCCATTTTTTTCCCCCAAAGAGTCTCACCCTTTCCTACAACTTCAGCCATTCTGCCGATGACACCCAGATGACTCTAAATCTGCTATTTTCCTAAGTCCTGTTCTACAATCTTCATGTTAGGATATTTTTAACTTAGATGTTTCGCTATTCAAGTTGTCAAATTTGCATCAAATTTAGCATGGTTGCAATGTAAGCATCCTCCTTACTGTAGTCAGTTCCACTCACGACTTTACTGTTTTTCTTTATGGTTCCGTTACGCTCCAGATCTTCCAAGTTTAAGCATCATAACCCAAGATCATCTTCACCTTCTTTCTCACTCTGCATTCCATTGGTCAGCTTCTGTTAAAATAGCCTTCCTAAGGCAAGCCTTCTCTGAACGATCATTTATTTTTAGGAAAACTTATAAAAAGTCACTGAGATCTAAAAACACCCACATACATATTTGCAATCATATTTGTGTGCTTGGTTAAACGTGTTGACATTTAACAGATTTGAGCCTTCTAAATTTAATCTAGCATGAATGTCATTTTTACTAAAATATTTGCTATTTTACTCAGCTGGTTCCTTACACAAGTCCTGTTAAATTTCACACGTGAAAAAAATGACTGAAAACACCTAATGGAATGTGATACTCCTTGTGTAGTAGAAATGAGTTGAGTTTGATATTTGAGAGCTGGTGCTATGAATGAATAGACAATAAGGCGAATAGTTGTTATGATTTGAGTTTTCTAAATGGAAAATGTTTCATGTTTTAGAGAATGTGAACTTCCACAAGGGCGGAGATTGTTAATACTTTTTTTCCTTCAGTGATGTTAAAACAGTACTGGCATGTAGTAAGCACTCAATGAATATGTGTTGAATGAGTGAATATAGGAACCATACTGGAATCGATACTGAAGCTACAGAGAAAAAGCATCACACCGCAGAGTTCAAATAGTGTCTTGAAGTTATTCTCTTGAAAACTATTTAACTTGTTTGTTACTACCACTTCTTCCATGCCCAGTGGAACAGCCAAAGTTATTCAAGTCCAGAACACATGATTTAAAAAATAATTCTAGGGTAGGCTTGACATTTTGGCTTTTGGAAAGTTGTGCAAATAAAACTCTTTAAAATACTATATTTTGACTTCTGGTCTTGACAAGAGTGTAGAGTTATTTCTCCTTGCTTCTCCCTGAAAAGTACAATTATAAACTCTGGATAAGTATAATTATAAAATAATGTAAGAGGAATCAGGAGAATTCTGAAAAGTGGGAAAAGAGGAAGACACACTGGCTAGGGACCCCAAGACTAGAGGAACAGCATGGTTCCAAGACATCTGACCCCTCATCTTTCTGACCTACAACCTAGCAACAGAAAGCAGCCCAGAGAGAGTTGTTCCTACAGAAGAGGGAACTGAAGTCTAGTTGGTAATACCAGATGAGTCTGGCTCTACCAGCATGGGGGATATATATGAGAAACCCTGCTGACAAACATCCAGACCGGAGGCTTGTGTGCTGAGAGGAAGATCCAGGGGGCTCTGGCAAAAAGCATCTGACCCATTATCTGAGCTGGAGACTGCCTTCTCCCAGAGGTACCATGGGACCTGGCTTGGGGGAGAATCCTTCTTTTCTTAAAGTAGCATCATGGAGGACCATTCAGGAGCCCGAGCAGCACCAGATAAACCAAAGCAGACCAAAATAACACTGCAAAGGCTCTAAAAACTAAATTACTGTTGGAGTCACAGCCCACAAAAAACTAAGCCAGGGCTTGCATGCTAAACATAAATGGAGTGACTGCCTGCTAAAATAAAAGATTCAAATAATAGACAAAATATTCAGGATACAGTGTAAAATAGCCTGTCATACCAAGAACCAGAAAAATCACAACTTGAATAAGAAATGACAGTCAAAAACAGATGACAACACTGAGACGAACCAGATGTTGGAATTACCTGACGCGGATTTTAAGCGACTCTTGTAAAACTGCTTCAATGAGTACTTACAAATTGTCTTGCAACAAAGAGATAGAAAAGTCAGCAAGGAAAGAGAAGTTAATACAAGAACCATCGTGATAAGTGCACCATATGCCAGATTTAAACATAGAAATAAATGGCAGTTATACAACTGAAAAATGCAATAACAAAATAGCAAACATTCAGTGGTGACAGATAATTTGTAGATCCTGGACATTTTGTCTGTTACATTAACTTTATTTTCAGAAAGTTAATTATGATGTGTCTTGGCATGAATTTCTTTCATCATGGCAGATATTTCAAAGTGAATGTAATATCTTGTTTGGTGTTCATTTAGCTTCTTGAATCTGTACATTTATATTCTTTGCTAAATTTGAGATCAGTGATAGAGAGGAAATGACAGAAGATAGAAATCAGTGAACCTGAGGACAGATTAGTAGAATTTACCTAATCTGAATGATGGGGCGAAAATAGGCTGACAAAAAAAATTAAGAACCTTGGGGACCTGTGGGACAATAACAAAAGGACCAACAGTTATATGTTTGGGATGCCGGAAGTAGAGGGGAAAAAAATGTAGCTGAAAGAGTGTTCAAATAATGACTGAAAACATCCCAATTTTGGCAAAACCTTAAAAGCGGCTGGAGAAAAATGACACATTGCTGTGGGGCGAGAGACACAGTAGATGTCTCATCAGAAACCATGAGGACCAGAAGGAGGTGGCATTGTCCACTATGAATTCTGTATCTAGCCAAACTATCCTTCAAGAGCTCTCTCTCATACCTATATATGTATAGATACACATGTACCTCTATGCAGCGCTTTACAATTATTAGGCAGTGCAGGTAGTGACATGGAATTAGGCTTATGTGAAATAATCAAAGAGATCTAACATGTACCTCTAATGACTGTAACGAATTGTTCATCTGAAAATAGATTGGAATAAAATAATGATAGTTATGATAGAGTGACAGCATTTTAATTTTTTAAATTAAATGTAATCTTTTTGTTTTTCTTTTCATCAAGGTGATATAATAGTTTTATAATTTAAAATTCTTTTTCTTTCAAAACACTCAATTTCAAGTCTTGACTGTAGAGTCTGATCATTGTAAGCTTGTAAGTTGCTATCTCATTTGCATTTTGATGCTATGTAATACAATCTCCTCCCCTGCTGACCTTTTTCCTCCAGGGCAGAGTATTTGTGTATTCCCAGTAACTTTCTCAGATGCTGACAGATAGTGGGTACCTAATAAATAATTGTCCAATTAACCAATTTAGATATGAGTATGTTGAGTATGTTAATAGAATCATAGGTTCTTTCATGGCTTGGGGATTGTTTGAATAATTCTGTCAGCCGAAAAGAAGAGAAGCACATTAGATGTTGCTGGAGGACTATTTAATGCCAGAATGACTCCTAGCATATTGTTTATGTCTCTTCTAAACATAGTCTAGGAATTGTTGACAAAGCTTGATTTAGCAGTACTTCTGTAACAAATATAGTCCAAGTCACTATAAAGAAAACTTACAAAGGGACAAAGGTGTTGTTTTTTTCTAGATCTTAGAATAATGACACTGAAAAAGACAGAGTGAGGTCATCTCATTCTTTCTGCCATTGATGACACCTTAAATCTTCCCGCAGATCTATGTGGCACTTCAATTAACAAATCCCCTGGGAATGATGCCCCTTTGTAAGGCATTAGCCTTGTTAAATCACTCCTCCCACCATAAATCACATCCGTAATGCAAAGCTTCCTCTCACAAGATAGAGATGCTTGTATGTACTGCTTCTGCATCTATCTTCCCAATTAAAGGTACAAGAGGCAGAGTCTGAAGAGTGCCAAGTATCCCCAAACTTTTTTTTTTTCCTTCCCAGAAGAGAATGAGCTTTTTTCTCCCCACCCCAGTGGTGACACCCTCACCTCACTTGCTCTCCTCCCCTAATGGAACACAAAATATTGTCACAAAGATGTATTTTCCACTTTTCCTAAGATCAGATCCAATGTAAGTTGTTTGCAGGTATTTACCACCTGTATTTCTTCAGTTATTCATGCTGAAGTCTAAGTACAGTCAGACATTTCCCTTTGATGGTCATGTGAATGGTGTCTAAATATTTCACTTCATTGCCTTGCTTAGTGAATTTTAGGAGTCACCAAGTAGAAAACTCATTTTGTCCTTTTTAGGTTGATTTGGAACAGGATGCCAGGAGGGTTCACCTATGGTAAACTCCACTTCACTGCTTCACAACTTCTTGGAAATCAAGCTTGGACTAATCCAGTGGGATTGCTGAAGTCCCCATTCCAGGAGCTGTTGGAGGTAGAGAAAGCTCTGCTGATTTTTTACTAGCATTTGGAGCCTTTAATCCTAGCAATTAGTATCTCCTCTGCTGATCCTTAGCCACTCCCCATCTCACAATGATGGGAGACCCTTCACATGCCTGTAGTCCCAGGTATTTGGGAGGCTGAGGCAGGAGAATCATTTGAACCCAGGAGGCAGAGGTTGCAGTGAGCCAAGATCATGCCACTGCACTCCAGCCTGGGCAACAGAGTAAGACTCCATCTAAAAAAAACAAAAAAAAGAGAGACATTACAGAGCGGATGATAGACTCTGTGTGTGTCTGTGTGCACGTGGTGGTGTTTATAACTGGTAGGCTTTGTCATAGAGTCGCCCAGGCTGGAGTGATTCTCCTGCTGAGGCAGGAGAATCCCTTGAACCCAGGAGGTGGATTCAAGGGATTCTCCTGCCTCAGCCTCACCTTCTGAGTAGCTGGGACTACTACTGCCTATTTTATGTTTTCTGTAACATTTGCTTGAGTTACAATTAGGAAGTTGTGTGTGTGCACACGTGTGTATAATGTGCCATGAACACCCCTTGTGCTCCATAACCAAAGCCCTATTCCCCTATTGCATTTCTCCCTCTATATTTGAATTCTGTTATTTTATTCTCATTATTTATGAAGGGATTATATGACCTAAAAAAAAAAAAACTTGAAAAATGTGGAAAAGTTCTCCAAACTCTCAACAATCTGCTTTCTCAGCGAAAGCTCTGCCAAACCTCAATAATTTTAAATGGTAATGATCAAGTCATAATTCTTTTTCATTCTACTCAAAGATAATTGTAGTCATTGTAGTAATGAGCATGGAGAACAAATGTCTGCTTTATGTTCCCTGAGCCAAGACCACACTGCTTTCAAAAAGATCAGTTCATCACAATAGTGGACTTGGTAATTTCCTAGGTGCTAATGCACTTCCCATGAAATGAGCAAAAGAATAGTTTTAAATATACATCAGTTTCCATAATTATTTTATGTAATCCTTCATGGAGAATGAATGAATCAGAGCAACGTTGCATTGTCCCAAAATTTTGCAGAAAATCACAAAACTGACATATGTAAATTTAAGCAATTCTGTGTCCCTGAAAAAAGAATGAGTTAAGTGTCATAAACATTAAAAGATCATTATATTCACAAATGTTTCCATTAATTAGTAAAAACCAGATTAATTCTACAGTGTTCTGTTTTAAACTGATATGCTGAAGCTATAAAATGTAATGGGAGCTAGCATTAGGGGCATGAGAATCTCGCCAACTTGTCCATCCTCAACGCGCCTCTGTGTCTCACCCCTCTCCTCATTTTTATGACTTCCACATTAATCCCGCCCTCCAGATAAATTCTGCTGGCCTAGCAGAAATACCACATAAGGATTATTGCACTCAAGATAAAAGAGCAGCCCGCTATTAAAAAGATTAAATCAACATTCCCAAACTTGCCACTTAAGGCCTTCTATCAATGTCCCTTCCTTTACCCAGCCACTTTCCTCCAAGGTCACCTGCTGGATAAGTGGAACCACCTTTTTTCCTTTTTTTTTTTTTTTAAAGACAGAGTCTTGCTCTAGAGTCTTGCTCTGTTGCCCAGGCTGGAGTGCAGTGGTGCCATCTTGGCTCACTGCAACCTCCACCTCCTGGGTTCAAGGGATTCTCCTGCCTCAGCCTCACCTTCTGAGTAGCTGGGACTACAGGCATGTGCCACCATGCCTTTTTTGTATTTTTAGTGGAGACAGGGTTTCACCCTGTTGATCAGGCTGGTCTCAAAGTCCTGACCTCAAATGATCTGCCCAGCTTGGCCTCCCAAAGTGCTGGGATTATAGGCATGGCAACTGCGCCTGGCCAGTGGAACCACTTTCTACAGTGTGCCCATACTGAGCCTTGGACAATTCCTAGTTTGGTACCTGCTGTGTACTTAACAGCACGTTACTGTGTTTTCTGTCCCATCTGGTCACACTTATCTTTGTAATGTTGTCTAACTCCAGCCCTCCAGATTTGTGCATTATGACTTCATTGTAAGTCAGAGAAAGTCAATAAACTTACTTTTTGACTTTTGAATTTTTGAAACTTTTGAATGTCCCCCATGGTCAAGAACAAGCATATCTGCACTAAATGCTTATTAAGCCTCTAACACAATGGAATTTGGATAAAGCTCGTAGGAATAAAAAGTGAATCTTGGTATAAGCATAGCAGTGAAATATTCTAATGTGGCAATGAGATGCATTTCAAGAATTTGGAGAAAAAATTAGAAAATAAGGGGATACATAAAGTCTGTACACTTAGTATAAAACCTTTAGCCACCTTTCCTAGTCCAGGTAGAAAACTGGAGAATCTTTTTCTGGACAAAGTGAATGTCCTCAGGGGAAAATGCCTTCAAAGATGGGCATCCAGGGTTCCCTAATGAAATTGCCAGTTTGTCATTTGGTCACTCTGTGACAAAGCCTACCAGTTATAAACACCACCACTTGCACACAGACACACACAGAGTCTATCATCTGCTCTGTAATGTCTTTTTTTTTTTTTTTTTTTTGAGATGGAGTCTCACTCTGTTGCCCAGTCTGGAGTGCAGTGGCATGATATCGGCTCACTGCAATCTCTGCCTCCTGGGTTCAAGTGATTCTCCTGCCTCAGCCTCCTAAATACCTGGGACTACAGGCATGTGCCACCACACCCAGCTAATCTGTGTATTTTTAGTTGAGATAGGATTTTACTGTGTTGGCCAGGATGGTCTCAATATCCTGACCTTGTGATCTGCCCTCCTCGGCCTCCCAAAGTGCTGGGATTACAGGTGTGAGCCACCCCGCTGGCCCATGATGTCTTATTTTTAAATATAAAGGAAGATTTAAGGATCTATAGGTATTTGAGGAAAGCCTCTAGTATGAAACAGAAAGCCCTAAACAAGCAATGGGAGAAAAAGAACTTAGAGAAAATAGCCCATACAGGAAACAAGAAAACATCAAAAAGCAATTATCTAAAAATTACTAGATGATGTTACAACTGTGAAACAAGAACAAAAAGAGGTTTTCAAATATAAAATGATAGCAACATTTTAAAACAAATTACTAGAAAATTAGAAGATAAAGACTTCCTCAGAAAGTAGAACAAAATAAGAAAAAGAGGTAGCAAATTGAATTAAGAGTTAAAAATTGGAGGATCAATCTAAGAAAAATATAGAAGCAAAAAAATGACACAATGGCAGGAACCACTTGACTCTCTTCATGAGTGAAGGTGTTTTCATGCACCTAGGTCACTTTAATGAGTGCACGGCTAATTGTCAGGGAGGGGGATCTTTGTAAAATGCAGATTCTAATTCAGCAGGTTGGTGGTAGCACCTGAGATTTTGCATTTCTGAGAAGCTCCTGAGTGATGCCTGTGCTGCGTCCGTGGACCATACTTGGAGTAGCAAGGTTCTAGTCTAGGCCATCTCTGCCTCTTCCATACTCCCATCTTAGTTGATTAAACCACTTGCAGAGAGTGAGGCCTGTGAAGCAGCAGAGTGGTGGATGTTCCTTAGAGCTCTGTGTATCCAACTCTGAACTTACTGGCTTTCCTCCAAAATCTTCTTCCCCTGGCTATTCTCTCAATTAATATCATCTCTTGCTTCCAATTTTCCAAGCAGGAAACCTTTGCATTAACTCATTAAC